AAGTTGCTTGATGATCTTCACCTCCTCATCCAAATAGTGAGTCTCCAAAAAGTCACACAGCTGGAACAGAGTAATATCACAATTTGGTGCATTTACAATTATCCAAGACAATTTCAGAATTCCCACTGCAAAACAGACTGAGCCATACTAGCTCTAGACAGCCCTGAAAACCTAGCTAACACCTGGAGAATTTGTGCCAGTGAGGACAATAGCATTTCAGCTGCTTCATCTTGCTGTTTGTTAAATGGAGCTAGTTGTATTGTGATGGACAATGATCATTCCACTGCAATGATCCTGAATGAGAATTCAGTGGCCAATATCGTTTCAGCACTCACTAGATTATAATCCAAATTCCCATTTTACCTCATTGTTCAGCAGTTGTAACATTGCAAACATCAGTAATGATCTGAAGTGATCACAATGTCATATTCAGACAAAAAGCGTTACATCAGTGAATTTCCAATCCACAAAGACCAACCAATGAAGTGTTGCCCTGAGGGTCTCACAGTGATGAGAATGAGGAGGTGGTGAAGCTTACATGATGTATTGATCTTGTTTGTTGTCCATTATTCAGAGCACTTGATACTTTGGGAGATGTCTCTTGAGCTTGAAGCCTGTTATCTTTCTGAAACTTGGCTGATCCAATCTAATTGGACTCGGAAACACTTTACTGGATCTTTTTACCATCCTCACATGTTGGACAGTAACTAGATGGTGTTCATTTTGTAGTCCCATAAGAAATTCAAGGTATTCCCCTCCAAATAGAATGAGGTTGGGGGTTTGTCAAGGATGGGGTGGAAAATCTTCTGGAGGACAATTAGTACACTTCTGGATACGGTGGGTTCAATTGTAGTTCAAAGAACTTGTTGTCTTTTTGTGACAGGAAGTTCCCAGATACTATCAGACTGGGTATCTCAGTTTACATTTAGGGAAGGTATGGGATTTGGGATATTCATGTTAACTTGCAGGTTTCCCTTAAAATCACTTCCCCTCAGCCTTTCTGGACAATAAATTATTGTCTGAATGACAGAATCACAATGTGAGCACAACCCTTTGTGATCTGGTGGCTAGGTCAGTTGACCAAGTTCTGTAGGAAGAGAACCATCAGGCTCTGATTTCAATCGAGCTGGAGGAACCAGGTAAGTTGTGAAACATATGATCTCAACTGTCTGGTATACCTTCCCACTCGGGCCCTATCCTGACCAGTATATACTATTCTCAGCATTGTTGCTTTGGTCCCCTGTGAATGGAGCCTAGGGTCATTGGGAGCTATGTAAGGGTCAAACCAGGACCAGCACTGCGGGGGCCTGTGACCTTCCCCACTGCTCCTTTGACACAGCCAACTGTAGTTGGTCACACCAACCTCCTTAGTCTAAGTAACATATATTCTTTGTCCAGGGGACCTTGATTAAATGCCCATTGACACTCATTGACACAAGGAGTCAATCCACACTGGAGGTGACCTTTTTCCCACAAGCAACCCAAAAGTTGTCTTAATGTGGCTCCCTCATTTCACTTTCTTTCCCTAGCCCAGGGCTCCCTGCAACAAGCTGTCACTTGTACTGAAATATAACTTTGAATCCCACCAGCCCAAGAATCAGCCCAAATGTTCACCACAGCCACTTCCCAGGGAGTCAGCTCAAATGCTCCTGAACTGTATTGGATTATAATGCAGGGTCTCGTTACCACCTACAGCAGGATAATAGTGACCTGGGAATAACAGCAATACTCATGGTTAAATGCTTCTACTTGACTGACTCTTGCTGCTAAAGCCAGCATTGAGCGCACTAAGCTGCTACCTTGGTTCCTCTGAGCTTCCCACATGGTGAAGGTTATTCCTGATGCAGTTTGATTTCACCCAATCACATTGAAGGAGCGGTGTGATTCGGAGAGGAAACCTGGAGATGCTGACTTTCCCGTACGGCTGTTTCCTTTATCTTTCGAGGTGTCAGAGATCGTGGGTTAGGGAGGGGGCTATCAGAGACATCCTGGGGATTGTTTCAAGGAGTTTTGTAGCGAGTGCACACTGCAGCCTTCATGGAGGTTGGTGGGGTGAAGTCATAAGGCACTCAAAATATTTGTTCCATCACCTAAAGCATTTTAGTTTCGGTAAATTTAAGTCTCGACCATAGTAACCCTCAAGTGCAGGAAGGGGCCATTAGGTCCATTAAATCTGCATGACCCTGTGAACAGCAGCATGTTCAGACCCACCCCATTCCCTTTACCCCACATGTCCTATGGCTAATTTACCTAACCTGCATGCCCCCTTGTCACTATCGGCAATTTAGCACAGCCAATCCACCTAATCTACATGTCGTTCGACTGTGGTAGGAGACTGGAGCACCTGAAGGAAATCAACACAGACAGGGAAAGAATGTACAAACTCAACACAGACAGGGAGAGAATGTACAAACTCCACACAGACAGTTCCCCAAGGCTAGAATCGAACCCGGCTCTCTGTCGCTGTGAGGTAACGGTGCTAACCACTGAGCTACCATCACACCCTAAAGTACCAAACAAAGGAGGAGGCTGTTGCAAAGTCAGAGTCGTACATCATGGAAATAGACTCTTCAGCCCAACCTGTCCTTGTAAACCAGGTTTCCAAAACTGTGCAGTGCCGTTTGCCTGCATTTGACCCATATCCCTCTAAACTGTTCCTTTCCACGTAAATGTCCAAATATCTAGTAAATTGTACCCACCTCTACCATTTCCCTTGGCAGCTCGTTCCATACATGCACCATCCTCTGTGTGAAAGTGTTGTCCCTCATGTCCCTTTTAAATCTTGCCCCTTTCACATTAAACCTATGCCCTCTAGTTTTGGATTCCCCTACCCTGTCCCAGTATGCTTTTTATATACAGTCAATCTTGAGTGTGCCAATGGCGAGGCTACATTTAGTGCTCAGCAACTGTTACACTTCAGGAGGTGGTGATGAGCTGGTTATTACAGTCCACCTGGTGTAGGAGAGACCAGAATGATCTTGCTAATGCTGCTGAGTAGGGGGTTCTGGGATTTGGATTCACAAACACTGATATTGTTTCAAGTCAGGATGACGACAGATTTACATGGAGCTTCTTGAGTGTTGTTGGGACTGCATTGAGTCAGAAAATTGTGAACTGTTTCATAAATATTCATTAACACTTCCTCACTTCAGTCTTATACATGGTGGACAGGCTTTGGAAAGTTAGGAGTTGAATACTTGGAATCATGCTGGAGTTAAGCGCTAACATGCTGGGAAATTCAGCCCATTTCTGAAGAAGCGTTCCGACCCAAAACGTCAGCTTTCCTGCTCCTCTGATGCTGCCTGGCCTGCTGTGTTCCTCCAGTTCCACATTGTGTTATCTCTGACTCCAGATCGACAGTTCTTACTATCCCTGAGGGAGTTAAGCGCTGGTCGTCGTTGAAATGATTAACAACTGAACAGGGAGATAAAAATGCTGAACATGAAACATAATTCTAGCAGCTATCACCTGGACCGTTTACGTATAGAGCCTGCGGCCTACTGTGTGTCTGAGACACTCAACACCTTTCGCGTTTTGATTTTCAAACTGGGCTACTGAGATCCAAAGGCGACGAGATCCCGGCAGATTCAGAATGGATCCACAATGTACATCAGTCGCCTGTATTAAATGGTCCAAAAGCACATGAATTCTGTTGCTGTATAGCATCAGGAAAATGTTTACTGTCAACAAAATCTAGCCATTTTTCAATGGGTTCCCACACTGTCTTTCAAAAGGTACAAAGACTAATCCCTCAGAGTAACAAAGTGACAGAATTTGGCAAATCTGTGATGAGTGTATATTAATAAATAGCCTCAGATAGAAAAGTGAAGTTTTAGAGTATATTTTATGCTCATTTTCAGGTAGATATACTTCCAGAATTTGCACTTTTGTGGGAGGTCAAAGCTCATTCAGCAATTCCATCATCGACCAGTTGTCAATTCTGATCGGTTTCCGGATCCAATTCCCATCCTGCACTGATTGGACATGGCAGCTGATCACTTGATTAACAAGAGTGATTGGCTATCACTGATGATGTCATTTCCTGCTTCATAAATTGAGGGGTTGCTCCTGGAGTATAAATAACGTCCCAAGAGAGTGATGTTTTAGGTGTGGTTGATTTTCTTTTCAATTTGTTATTTGATTGTGGAAGAAAAGGAAAGCAATTTTTAATCACAAAATGGCTTCCCAGATTAGTCAAAGCTATCACCAGGATTGTGAAGCTGCTGTTAACAAACAGATTAATGTGGAGCTTACAGCCTCCTATCTGTATCAGTCTTTGGTGAGTGTTGTCCCTGAGGGGTTGAAATTAAATCTATTATGCTGAAGTAAACTGTTTCCCTTGTTTCTAACTAAATTGGTACTACTGTAGATTGAGTTTTATATCTCTTTCCTATTTAAACATCAGGAGAAATGTAATAATGGGGGTATGATACTGATGTACAATAACTGGGCTCCTGTAGGCTTTGTGATATCTGGTGAGTGAAGTGTTTTGTAAAATACCTTATAATTCACTCTCGGGACTGTGACTGGTAGTAACTGTCACACTGTCTCTCTCAAGGATTATCAAAACTTGACAGTACTGTAGAAAGAAATTAGGATAACAATTGGCTATTTAACCTTCTTCTGTTTTAATCTGCCTTGGTGTATCTGCTTTATTTTATGATGCATGTAAATAAACCAACATGCTGACTTTTGGTATTGTAGTAAGGCATTATGGTGATTCTTCAGAATAACAAAATCTGATTTGACAAAGCCTTCAAGGTTAGGCTGTGACTGCTACCTGTTTAAATAGGCCTCACTGGAAGCCTATTTGGCTTCTTGTACTCCATCATGAGGTGGGTGTGGCCCATTCTTTCACAACCTACAGACAATAGATCTGCTGTGGTGTGTGTGAAATGTTGGACCCCCCCTGGGGCTGCTGGAATGTGCTGAGGGTTATTGAGCTAGTCAAGAAATGGAAGTTGGTCACATACCATCTATCCTGGTCTGAAACTGGTCCCTTTATCCAGGTGCTGGTGTGCCTATGCCCTTCCAAGGAGTAGAATATGTTTGGAAGGTGTGTTGAAGTAACCTTGGTGAGTGCTGCAGTATACCTGCTAGATAATGGACACTGAAAGGAGGTGGTGAATGCACTCCCCATGAAGTGGGCTGCTCTGTCCTGGATGGTGTCTGCTTCTTGAATGTTGGAGCTTCACTTCTCCAGACATGTGGAGAATATTCATCATGCTCTGGGCTTGTGCCTGTTAGAAGGAAGCTGTCTCATGACATGAGGATGAAGTCCCTATGAGCCCCCTTTTTGGGAGGTGGGCACAGCTTGCATTGGTGAACCAGTTGGGTTTTTAATCACTGACCAGTGTCCGAACTCAATGGGGAATTGTGTGCCAATATAAAATTCCCACTATTCTACACCTGCGACAACATGTAACAACCCAATTTAACCATACTTTTTCTTTTTGCTTGACTGTTTCTATTTGAGGATTAGAGTAACTTCTCACTGGGTGTCCTCCCTAAGAACAAAATTCATCTGCTTTATGAAGTAGTCAATAAACTACTCCAACTTGAAATGTCATTTGTAGCCCTTCATCAACAATAACATGTTGGATTGTGAATCAGTTTAGAATGAGTGAAATGGGTGGGTAAAAGGCCAAGTCAGGTTTCCCAGTTTAGTGTCAATTAGTGACATTATCTGCAGAACAATAGTTGATCTACAGGTTGCATCAGGTCTCTGACATTTGACCTTGCTTCAGTTTGTTTTAATCATGTGGTGATGCTGCCCTACCCTGAGTCCATCCTGCACACCAGCTGATGGCACTGGTTTTAAACCTATTCAATCACTAACTTCCTCCAATTCTGATGGATGTTAGACAGTGGAAACATGAATTCAGCTTTTCTCTCAATGCTGTGCCAGACCATGCACCCCCACCCCCACCACCAAGCAATTCAATGGGTTTTTAAAACCAAAACACATGGTATTTGTATGTTATCTGGAGGAAGCTGGGGTTGTTGAGATTGATCCAGTTAAAGGATCTGCTGGCTAATTGAACAACACTGGGTTCTCAAACCAATTTTATGTATCAACACTTGACAGCTGACTGAATCATCAGTTTGCTTTAGAAGGATAAACCAGATCTGCAGTTCTGAACTAGATTCAGGTCCAGTGGTGCATTTAATAAGAATTAACTTGTTCTGTCTTCCAGAGGTCCTACTTTGACCGGGACGATGTGGCCCTCCCCCATTTCTCCTGGTTCTTCAAAGATCAGTCCCAGGAGAAGCAGGAACATGCAGAGAAGCTGCTGAAATTCCAGAGTCAGCGTGGAGGCAGAGTCCTCCTCCAGGATGTGAAGGTTGGAGTTGGGAAGGGATGGTTAGGTGGGGTGAGAGAAATTGGCTGCTCTTGTGGTGAGGTTTCAAATCATCAGTGACAAGAATTTCACATACTGAAGAAAAGTGAGAAGTTCTCTTTGGCTTCCCTGTTTATTTTCTGAAATGCCAGAAATCTCAAACAAGCCCTTTGGCCCACCATGCCTATGCTGACCCAACAAACACCAAACCACACTAATCCCATCTACCTGCACTTGGTCCACAGACTACTCTGCCCTGGCATTAAGTAGTTGTCCAGATGTTGCTTAAAAGTTGCTGGAGTAGCTGTCTCCTCCACTGTCCCCCGCGCCCCCCCCACCTTCAGGTGCTGCATTTCACATTTCTACCATCTTCCTGCTGGCAGGGGAGGTGTCCTCTAACCTGCTTACTACTCAAACCTGTGCCCTCTGGTCTTGGTGTCTGCCATGGGGAAGACACTCTCCCTCTCTACTGTGCAGACTCTGCAGCCTTCCATACTTCCATCAGATAACTGCCTCCCCCTTCACCTGCTCCAAGGAAAATCCCAGCCTATTGAACCTCTGATCAATGGATTTTCTGTCTTGGGGCAACATCCTGGTGACCCTCACCTGCACCATGCCCCCAGTGTTATCCTGTCCTTGTGATTGTGGTTCTGGACACCACACTGGCCAGGCCAAACATGGAATACAATGCTACATAGTTTGTGACAAGACTTGCCCATCTAATAGGGATAGGCATCATGTAAGCCAACTTCACCACCCAGTTGCTGATTCTTGAGGGATCAATGGTCTTGGGCATTTTGTTATCTCTGTTCCTTACCATAAAAACTTTGCTGTCCCTTCAACTAATTAAATAGTAGTGATGTTTCTGATCATGCTGCTCAGACAGCTATGAAACAACTAGCACAGGTGGGACTTCAACCTGGGCCTTGTGTAC